ATCTGAACTCTCTCTAAGGTATCAATACCCTTCTGAAGATACAGTCTCCAGTACTGTGTACAATACTCCAAGTGAGGTCTCACCAGTGTTCTGTACAATGGCATGAGCACTTCCCTCTTTCTACTGCGAATACCTCTCCCTATGCAACCAAGCATTCTGTTAGCATTTCCTGCTGCTCTATTACATTTTCTGCCTACCTTTAAGTCATCAGAAATAATCACCCCTAAATCCCTTTCCTCATATGTTGAGGTTAGGACTCTATCAAATATTCTGTACTCTGCCCTTGGGTTTTTTAGTCCAAGATGCATTATCTTGCACTTATCCACATTAAATGTCAGTTGCCACAATTCTGACCATTTTTCTAGTTTACCTAAATCATTTGCCATTTGGCTTATCCCTCCTGGAACATCAACCCTGTTACATATCTTAATATCATCAGCAAAAAGACATACCTTACCATCAAGACCTTCAATATCACTAATAAATTTTTTAAAGAGAATGGGTCCAAGTACAGATCCCTGAGGTACCCCACTGGTGACAAGTCCAAGCTTTGAATATATTCCATTAACTACAACCCTCTGTTACCTGTCACTCAGCCACTGCCTTACCCATTCAACAATATTGGAATCCAAACTTAAAGATTGCAGTTCATTGATAAGCCTTCTATTTGCAACAGTGTCAAAAGCCTTACTGAAATCTAGGTAAGCAATGTCTACTGCACCACCCTGATCTATAATTTTAGTAACCCAATTAAAAAAAATCAATAAGATTAGTTTGGCATGATCTCTCTGAAGTAAACCCATGTTGTCTCTGATCTTGAAAACCATGTGTTTTTAGATGTTCAACAATCCTATCCTTTAACATGGTTTCCATCACTTTCCCCACTACTGAAGTAAGGCTTACTGGCCTATAGTTGCCCGACTCTTCCCTATTACCTTTCTTGTAAATGGGCACAACCTTTGCTAACTTCCAATCTTCTGGGACAACTCCTGTTAACAATGATTGGTTAAATAAATTTGTTAATGGTTTTGCTAGTACACCACTAAGCTCTTTTAATAGCTTTGGGTGTATTCCATCAGGTCCCATTGACTTATTTGTCTTTACTTTTGACAGTTGAAATAGAACCTCTTCCTCTGTAAACTCACATGTAATAAATTACTAATTTATCCTTTTTCTCAACTGAGGTCTCTTTTCTTCATTTTCATCTGTAAATACAGAACAAAAATATTCATTGAGGCAGTCAGCTAGACCTTTATCCTCTTCTACATACCTTCCTTCTTTTGTTTTTAATCTAACTAATCCTTGTTTTACTTTTCTTTTCTCATTTATGTATCTAAAAAATGTTTTATCCCCCTTTTTTACTGACTGTGCCATTTTCTCTTCTGTGTGTGATTTGGAAGCTCTTATAACTTGCTTAGCCTCTTTCTGCCTAATCTTATAGATCATTTTGTCTCCCTCACTCTGGGTTTTTTTATAATTTCTAAATGCTAACTTTTTGTTTTTAACTATTTTGGCCACATCTGCGGAGTACCACAGTGGTTTCTTGAATTTTTTGCTTTTACTGACAAGCCTAATGCAATTTTCTGTTGCCTTCAATAGTGCAACTTTTAAATAATCACATTTCTCTTGGACTCCATTTAAATTGCTCCAGTCTGATAATGACTCCTCTACACATATTCTAATTTTAGAAAAGTCTGTTTTTCTAAAGTCTAAAACTTTTGTTTTTGTGTGGTGTGACTCAGTCACTGTTCTTATATTAAACCACACTGACTGATGATCACTGGATCCTAAACTTTCACCTACAGTAATATCTGATACCAAATCTCCATTTGTTAACACTAAATCTAGTATGGTCTCTTTACGAGTTGGCTCCTCAACAACTTGTTTTAGAGACAATCCCAGTAGGGAGTTTAGAATATGTGGGCTCCTGGCATAAGTAGCTAATTTTGATTTCCAATTTACATCAGGAAGATTAAAGTCACCCATGATGATAACTTCTCCCTTCATTGTCATTTTAGCTATTTCCTCAACTAGTAGATTATCTAACTCTTCAATTTGTCCTGGGGGCCTATAAATCACACCTACACGAGCTACTGTGTGATTACCAAATTCTAACGTAACCCAAACAGAATCTATGTTTGCCTCACTAACTTTTATTAGGCTAGATTGTATGCTATCCTTCACATACAGGGCCACCCCTCCCCCTTTCTTGCCTTCCCTATCTTTTCTATATAAAGAGTACCCTGGTATTGCTATGTCCCAGTCATTTTTCTCATTATACCATGTCTCAGTAACAGCGACTAAATCTACACTATCAGTTGCCATTATTGACACAAGTTCATGGATCTTATTCCCTAAACTGCGTGCATTTGTAGACATGACTCTAAGCTTATAATTTTTTAACACACTTGCTACAGGCACCTTCTGTTCTTGTTTTGGGGGACACTTGGATTGATGTTTTATCACCCTTTTGCCCCCCCTTCTAGTTTAAATACATCCTAGCAAAACCTCTGAACTGCTCACTGAGAACATTTGTTCTCTTTTGAGAAAGATGCAAACCATCTTTTTTGTACAGCTTATTTCCATTCCAAACAGAGCTACCATGAGAAATAAAGCCAAATCCTTGCTCCCGACACCATTCACCAAGCCACAAATTAAAGTCCCTAATACGCATCCGCCTGTCGCTCTGAGTGTTATGCACAGGCAGAACTTCAGAGAATGACAGTGTGGAAGCAACCTGCCGTATATCATTGGCAAAAACACTAAAAACTTCCTTAACCTCTGAAACCTCATTGCAAGCCAAGTCATTTGTCCCTAGATGGACACGTACATCCAATTCCCATTCCTGCTTTGCTTGCTTAACAATATTACAGATATGTCTCCTGTCTCTGTGAGCAGTAGCTCCAGGAAGACATCTCACAAGACCACCATTGTCCATCTCTACACCTCTTATGATGGAATCCCCCAATAACAACTGCTCTCTATTAGGCCTCACCATAGTCTCCAAGCCGGTCTCCACAACACCACTAGCTTCAGTGCCTCTCTCCACAACACCACTAGCCTCCGTGCCTCTCTCCACAAAACCACTAGCCTCCGTGTCTCTCTACAAAACCACTAGCCTCCGTGTTTCTCCACAAAACCACTAGCCTCAGTGCCTCTCTCCACAACACCACTAGCCTCAGTGCCTCTCTCCACAAAACCACTAGCCTCAGTGCCTCTCTCCACAACACCATTACACTTTGAAAGTGCAGAAAATGAATTATGTAGAGCAACAGACTGTGTAATCTTTGTGACACTTAAATAGAATTTGCATAATAATTTGGAACAGGGTATATATACATGATTGTCTTTATATGGTAATATAGTCAAATTAAATACCTCATAAAAATAAATAACATCCATAATAAATTCATATATAGTGTGTAATAAATTAAATGACCACAATTCCATTATATATTTGAATATTTAGAATATTTGAATAAGTGTCAAAAAGCAGTGAATTAAAATAGTGATATATGTGCCCTGAAAACTCTAGATAAATAAATTAAAGGATCACTATAGGGTCAGGAACACAAACATGTACTCCTGACCCTATAGTGTTTAACCGACCATTTAGGTGGCTTGCACCCCCATATAAAAGTTTAAAACTCATCTTATAGTCAGCGCCACGCGGGTCTGCTGGTGCTGGCTCCGCCCCCTTTGTGACATCATCAAAATGACCGATTTTTGTTATTGTCCATAAATTAAAATTTTAAGCATAAAAAATAAATAAAAAAAAAAAAGGCGGATTTTTAGCCAATCCAATGCTTTGGATTGGATAAAATCGGCATGGGGGCAAGGCCAAATGCCATTTTGGCCAATCAGGACATCCTCAGAGATGCATTGAATCAATGCATCTCTATGAGGAAAATTCAGCATCCCCATGCAGAGCGTGGGGACGTTTAAAGGTAGGGCTTCATACTGTGCAGCCCTGAACCAGGAAGCCCCTCCAGTGGCCATCTAAGGAGTGGCCACTTGGAAGTTTCCCTAGGGGCAATGTAAACACTGCCTTTTCTTTGAAAAGGCAGTGTTTACATGAAAATGCCTGAAGGGAGCTATTATTCTCACCAGAACAACTACATTAGGCTGTAGTTGTTCTGGTGACTATAGTGTCCCTTTTAAATTAAATTACATATAATGACTAACTTTTAGAGCTGTATAAATGAAAGTATTCTGACAAATTGTATTTAACATGGTACGGTAACTGTTTAGCAGTTGATAGGAAGGTTGTTTAATGACTAGTAAAGCCTGCTTAATACATTTTTGGTGTTAAGCTCTCATCAATGCAAGAAATTCACAACAAACGCTGTGCCTGGAGAGTAAGAGAATAATTAAGGACACATTTCATCCTAATCATGCACTAATTAATCTTTTTCCTTCAGGAAAACATTATAGGGGTTGTATTGTTGGACTTGTAGGAAACGGGAGAGGGGGCTGACATCCAAGATGGCTGGAAGTGTTCTTCTGTAGCTCCTGTTAAATCAAGCAAAAAGTAAACTTTTAAAGCAATTCCATCAGCTACTCATGGTATTAAGTTTTGTGTGGACTGATGCTAACACTTAGTGAAACCTACTGAGTCTGGTCCAGGGCATTCTACCAAGCAGTAATTCTGTCTAACTCTGAGGCCTACCGAGATTGCCATACAGGCGGAGTGGAGAAGTGGCATATCTCCCGACACTGCACACACACCTCGAGACCACATCTTGCTGCCCAGTTACCCCCCCCTCTGGACCGGCGGGGGATATACTGGTCCCCACTGGGTCAGCTTACAATAGAAGCCTATAATCCATCATCTTGAAAGCTGCATGGCGCGACCAAGATGGCCATTGTGCAAAACACTTAGCTGAACCGACAGAACTTAAAGACATGAGTTGTCGGAACCTGTTCAATGCCTTCTGTGAGGAGTTCTGGCATTGTGTTGCCTGCAAACCCCATAAACCTAGTCCTCCTGCAGACTCTAGAAGATGCCTCTGCTAGGCGCTACTTTCTTGGGTTGGAGGCCCATATGGAGGTACCTCCATCTACTCGGAGAGAAGTACAATCGGCAGAAACCCCACGGGCCCAAGATCCTACCACTCAAGATAAGGGGATCTATGGACACAAGGCGCTGGGTACTGTTTTGGTGATAACCAACAGCATCATCCACAGCAAAGCCTAACTTGTCTGCCTGCAGGGAGTGAGGAAAGCAACACTGGCATGGAGATATCCTTTTGTCTGGCTAATCCAAGTCTCTCAAGTTCTGACAAACATGCCTAGCCTGATTTTGCTGTTTAGCTTACAGTTAAGCCAGTGGCGTATCCTGGTTTTGTGCTGCCCTAGGCATGGCAAAACTCAGGCCCCCACTCCCACCTTGCCACCCCACCCTTCCCACCTGCCCCACCTTCTAAATACACACACATTCACTGACAGACACACATACACTAGCTAACAGACATACACACTCACTAACAGACACATACAGTCACTAGCACACACACACATTCACTAACAGACACGCATACACTCTCACTAACAGACACACAAAGTAACACACTCCCTAACAGACACACTCACTAACAGACACACACACACTCACACACACTCACACACACACACACACACACACACTAACAGACCCACACAGACACACACACACACACTAACAGACACACACTAAAACACACACTAACAGACACACACTAACAGACACACACACACACACACACACACACTCACTCACTTTTTTTTTAAATTCAACCTCTTTTCCTGGGGGTCCAGTGGCTGCTGGGCTGCTGGGCGAGCGGCGCTGGCGAGGGAGCACTGATTAGTGAGCTCTCTGCTCAGCTCCCTCGCGCGCCGCAGAGTGATGCTGGGAGCCTGAATATGACATCATATTCTGGCTCCCAGCATCACTCTGCGGCGTGCGAGGGAGATGAACAGAGAGCTCAGGGGAAAGTGCTCCCTCGCCAGCACCGCCCGCCCGCCCGGATTTTGAGTTAGCCGCCAGGGACTATTAGCCACAAGGCTAACAAGACATTTGCCCTGGGCATTCGGGGGGCGGCTTTTTTGCCTCGCAGCTAATACGTCCCTGAGTTAAGCAAATATTACCTTTACCTACTATATTAAGCATATATGCGTTTATCTTGGTTGAATATCTCTGCATCGCCTCTGATTGCATATGTCAGCTTCCCTGATGTCATTATTATTATTTTTTTTTAAATGAGGTTGTAAATCTCACCTTCTAGGACTAGTAGGCAGAATCCGTTGGCAGACGATCTCAGCTAAGCGGGAAAAATCCAGGGGAGTGGTGCTTATCAGATAAAGTCTTCCATATAATAATCTAACAATGGGGGAATTACTCAAATGGATCTAATGGCAACTCACAAAATCAAACAAGTCAAAAGTTTCTTCTTCAGAAGCTATAATCCTCAGGCTCTAGTAAGGAAGACCCTTTCATTCCAGTAGCAATTCAGCCTGGGTTATGCGTTTCCACTTACTCCCCAGACAAGGAAATTGTACTTCCAGTCTTGAATGCTATTTGTCAAGATGGAAAATGGAATGTTCAACACTTGACATGGTGAGGTGTTTAAAGATTTACATCGATTTGATCGATCTTCTAACTGTAGTATGTCACAAGGAATTTCCATTATTCCTAATGGGGCTGGAAAATGTCTTCAGACCTCTTAAGAGGCTATCAGTAAATGGATTGTTTCTGCCATTCTTCAGACTTTCCAGGCCTTAGGAGTTACTGTTCCTGATGGCCTAAAGACTCATTCTACCAGGTCCCTCCATGCTCTTGGGCTGTTGCAGCTAAAGTTCCTCCAGAACTGATATGCAGAGCAGCAGTTAACACCTTCTTTAGACATTATAAATTAAATGTTGGAGCAGTTCAGTTTGATAATTATGTCTAATTTTTTAATATGTTGTTTATTATGGTAAGCTGAAATAATATTTAACTTTTATATAATTCATATTATTAGACATTGAGGGATATCTACACTGCATAGTGACAAAAATTCAGTGAAAATTATTGGATTAGACTTCCCATTTGTATAGTTAAATAAGTAAAGTAGAGTTATAGTAAAGTTAAATACGGTCAAAATATAGTGTTTCCGACTGAATGAGCACCATTCTGTTAGATTAATTTGGTGTCCGGTTTAAAATCTAAAGGTATTATTACCAAATTTGCCAGACACCAGATTTCAAGTGAATCCTTTCCAGAGACTGGAAAATCTGCTAAATAAATTTGCTTGCTTTCAAGATGGATTACCAGGCAGGTCTCGTGAGAGGCAAAACTTGACTGTCAGAGCACTCTACCTAAAATTCAAAGCTTGGAACGCTTTTACACTTCTTTAATACATTAGAATTTCATTCTGCACAGAACCCTCGATAGGTAAAGATAGAGTCATTTTGGTGACAAGACTTTTAATTTTTTTTATCTGATTTTTTTTTGTTTTTTTTTTGTTTACAAAGCAAAGATTTATTTGGCATACCCACCCCGTTATTTTTAAACTTGTGCATTTGGTTTCAAGGAATTGCGATTCGTCTGAATTTTGAACGATTATTGATTTGTCAGAAACTCTGAAACACTACATGGACAAAGTGGACAAACCATTTCTTTGTTACCTGATTCAGAGTTTCATTGCTGATGCCGAAAAAGTACTGCAAAATATACACATAATATTTATACATTTTATAGTACACTGATTGGCCAATTTTTGCACCATTTTGTTCATCCGAATATTTTTTACCAAAATTATTGTGTGGATCAAATTAATCTGAACTAATACACCACATGAATGAAACCCAAATCTCCATAACCTTTTTTTTCTAGGCAATTCGATCCAGATGACCTACATTTTTTTACCATGTTTAAGTCTGCTTAATATACCAATACCAATACCATTTGTTCTCCTTGGGTAGGGGTGGTGGACTATTGACATTTCACCACCACATCATATAAATACCCAGTATCCAATGATCGTTGATGGGGCAGCTAAGGGACAATGATATGTCTCCCCAGGAAGTGAAGACTGGGAGAGTCTGACATGTTTCCATAATCTTTTAGTTTATAGCCTTCATCCACTGCCTTTGTGTAGGAGCTAAGGTTGTGGTCAATGGCATGTCAACCCCATATTGCTAATATTTATGTCCTGATGTCCTATGGTGAAGGCACATGGGGTACCAGTGCCAGGATCCCCACAACTGTTAATTTACTGTAACTACACCAAGCACTGTTGGAGAATTTCCATTTGGGCAGGAGACAGCTGATCCCTATTTCAAAAAGAAAGACATTAAACTACCATTAATTAGAATTGGGCCATATTGACACCTGTATTATTTTCTGTTATTTTTTTAAATACTTTTATCATTGCAATATCTGACAAGCCACCAAATATTGTACCACTTGTGTTTATGAGGATTATTTTGAACAATTTTAACAATTCAGGTCTGCATTTTAAGAATCTGGTTCCAGATTTCAGCTGTCTAGCAGCATTCAGAGCAATTCTGGCTCCTTGCTTGGCACTTATACTTTTTAAAAATACTTATCATTTACTTTTATAGAACATATAAAACATATATCACCGGCTGCAAATGCAATTACATTTCTTGAAAGCAGTTAACCTCTAAGGCAGGGATAGGCAACCTCGGCACTCCAGATGTTGTGGACTAGCGGTGTAGTCCAAAAACATCTGGAGTGCCGAAGGTTGCCTATGCCTGCTCTAAGGGAATGTTCTTTTCTTTCTTGTACTCTCTACTCACATAAAGTAAGTGAGTATAAAACAGTTATCTATGTAACACAGAACATGAACATTACATACACTTAGTGCAGGGCTACAAAGAAGCCCACTAGTGTGTTCATTATACTCTTGTTCCCGATCTTGTGACTATAAAGATCTCTAGATTGAACTCTTACAGCAATGTGGGCTGCAGGGAAGGTGATATTTGTGGCCTTTCGGCATAGATAATTTGTAGTTTTTTTTTTTTTTTTGCCTTTAATGTTCAAATCTCTATTTGTCCTATGTTTATTTTTTATTTTTTTAGTTTCTCTATTTCTTGGGTCTTCCAATTTTTTTGTAATTTTTGACTGATTTTATAATGATACATGTGGGATTATTTTATCCAAGCCAGGAATACTGAAGAATTGGCATGGGAATGTTAACACATTTTAAAACTAGACAAATTAGCAGATTATTCAGGATTTTTATGTTTCTGCTATTTTGGTATATTGAATTGTTCTGTTAGAGATTTTTATTAAAGTATTAATTAATGGGAATTTAAACAAGGTTATTCACTAAAGTGAGAATTGTCAGAAAGCTGAAACACAGGTGACTTTTTGAATTATTCATATTTGGCTAATATGGCCTAAAATCTAAAATTTTACTGTGAATGCCAAATAATCCACCCAGGTGAATAGCCATGGGATTGTTTAGGTTTCCTGCTACCATGCATTTAGTATTATTTAATAATCACATGTCGGTAGAGACATGTCTGGATTTTATATATATATATATATATATAGATATGCATATATCTTTATATATATATATATATATATATATATATACATATATATATAGATATATATGTGTATATATCTATATATTTATATATATATATATATATACATATATAAATGTATATATATTTTTATATATATATCATCCAGACAAGTCTCTACCGACCTTAGAAATATATATATATAGCACAATAGCCCTGCACTTCAGTCATATATTTGTAAATATACTACACTGTCCTAATTGGCATCAGCTGACTGGGGACGCGTTCCTTTGTCCATGGGAATAGGTCAAGAGCTGATTGAAACGGTTGGAGAATCGGATATAGCGTATCCAGTTTCCTGCAGGCATAGGCTGTGTTGTACACATCTGCGACCTGCTAATATACTTGAACCAGAGGAGGTGCATCTCCGTGAGTTTGATAGATTGTGTGCGTGGGTCTGGGAGATCTTGCACAACCGCATGCTTCCTCGCATCACTCTGGACCATGCCTAAACCTCACAGCTCTGGACTACAGATAGACATCATACAGACTGCAGAGAGACACCATATAGCACAATAGCCCGCACTTCAATCACACATTTGTAAAATAAAAATACCATACCTGGTCCTAA